CACGAGTATCTCTTGTAGGTCGGAAACGTCCGGCAATCACGTGATCGCGAATTTTTTCTGCCATCACTTTGTTACCTTGCATTACTCATTACTTTTCGATTTATGCGAAATTATGCGATAAAATTCTGCACCAGCCCTACGCCGAAACAATTTGTACGGCCTTATATTTATAAATTTTATTAACAATAATCTGTATAAAAACTAAAAAAAGGGTTGAACTTTAAGTTTTTAACTTGTGTTTAATAAATAAAGTAATAAATTGAACTATACTAAATGATGACCCACTGTGTGCCCCCTAATATCTCGAAATTTTACTATGCTAACCCCGTTGTATAATTAAATAAAAAAGTTCCTCTCGCAATTTTACCTTAACCTAATTCTAATTCTAACTTTAACCTAACTCTAATTTCTATTGTATACGTATAGTTTTAATTTTGCTATAGAGGCATATTGTGCATCGGGGTACCAGTTAATAAATTTTATATAAAAGTTAAAAATTATACTGTAATATAATTTCAAAATTATTATTTTTTTGATTCAAATTTATAAACAAATTTTGAGAAATTTGAATTTGGTTTGTTTTGCAGTAAACCATGTCTGGTTTTACAATATAAACTTGATAATTTGCTATTTCTAATAATCAACTCAAAAATAAATTTATTATTATATTATTTGCAAGCACTAATATCTTGACTATGGTGTATATTTCTGGTACAAAATGAACTATAATGCATTTTACAAATTTTATATATATCTGCAAAACCAAAAACCAAATAATAAATTATTATTTAAATAAGTACTGTAAATTAACCCTACTCTCCAGTTGTTATTATATTAATGAAACCTTTGTTCTAGCCAATCCACCACGAAAATTCTTGATTGGCTTTGGCACCATTTGCAATCTTCTGAAAGCTTCATGTATATGCGAAGGTTGCAATGCTGTCTGCTCAGGGGGGGGTAAGGAAAACAGAAATACATTCCCACCTGTGTCATAATTTTCGCGTGGTCTTTTAAGCCCTTTATTATGCATTTTCTGATCTCTGTCTAAATCTCGTTTAACGCGAAGCGCTGTCTCTGTTAGAGTGCTAACCATCTCGAATGTCAAAAATCCTAGAATGTCTATAATATCATCGTTAGGTTTCATATCAATGTACGCTGACATGTTTGCCCATTCACGAAAACGCTTCGCCTTTCTATAAGTAAAAGATGCCTGTCGGCATTCTGAATAATGCACATATTCTTCTCTTGTCATAGCTCTAGTAATTTCATCTGCATCCTATAGAATTTTTAAATTTTAATAAGGCGATCTAACATTAGAAAAATATAATAAACGTACTTTTAATCTTTGTATTGAATCATTATAAGCTTCACGCTCTTCTTCATCTTCTTCTTCACTGTCTGCGTTCAAAAATTCTGAAAAAGAATTGACTAGTTCCCATGACAACTTAACCTTCATTTTGCGAGCTTTTGCTAATTTATCTAATTTATTTCACGCATTTAGTAATTTTCTGTTTGCAATAATAAACCAAATTGTAAAATACCTGCGCTTGGTTCCTCAATAGTTTCCTCAACGGCATCATTTCCCGTATCTTTTACATTTTTACGCACATCTTTCCAACTCAAATATGTTCGCAAACGATTTACTTTTGCTCGATCATGTCGAATTAAGAATATGAGGTCTTCTGAACTCATATATCGTGAGCCACGCTTGGCTGCTTGTGCAGCTGCTTGAATAATCTGTATAAAAAAAATTCCTGTCAAAACGTGCATTAAATATGTCAGTGAAAATGGACTAATACACTTACAATTTCAATCACTTGTGATCTAACAATGTCTTCCACAAGTTGAATTGTTTCCGTCAGAGGCTCTGGAACTTCACCAAAAACAAACATCATTTGCTGAATTTCGGATGAATATCGATACTTGGACTTTTCTTTTTCCTATATTGGCCGATATTTTAATCAGCATCTTTACAGAATATAAAACTTTAAAGTTTCGCTTTAAAAGAATTACCATCTTCGCGTTGATGACCAGATCGATCTTTCCTAGTGCTAGCGTCTATTACATGATCAAGTCATGTGGTCTCGATTGTCAATGCAAGTTCCATCATCTTTGCAGCAATGTGCATAAGGTTACACGTAAACTGATTATATTCTGTACTCATTTTCTGGCAATTGT